TCTCCACAGATAGGGTTTGCACAGTATGCCCCTATGGGAGAGATCCAGCAAGGGTCTGTCCAGTGCTGTGCAAATGCAGGGTTCCTGAAATCTGAAGGGAAGACTGGCTCTCTTCTTATTCTGTCTAGTTAAGATAGTTATTTTAAAGCTATTTTTGTTGGGCTTTTCTTACTGAGATCAGAAAGAATCCTGCACCATCTCTCTCTCTTGCCTCCCTCTCAGATGCCCCCCAACACAGAACAGTAAGTTCTTCTCCAATGTATATATACTACTTAGCTCTCTATATACATATGTATATATTTGAGTTCTAGATAGGGCTACGTAAAAATATGATATCAAGACAAGTACTTGATTCATTTTTCTAGAATTTGCTTTAAGTATTTAATACTCTCTGGTGTCTGTATTGGTATCACAATGTTGAAAGGGAGGCCTTTATCAGAAAACTTCTGCAGGCTCAAAGCAACACCCTAATTGATATAATCCAAAATCTCATTGCAATTAAAACGTTTCACTGTATGATATTACTTAAGTTTTATTTCTGCTATCAAGAGAATACTTATTACTAAGGAAACCAACACCAGCAAGTATTATGTTGATCATCTTATCTGATAGTTGTTGTAAGCATGTTGATTATTCAGCTCAAATTTCCTCAAAATAAAAGTATTATGTGCTTTCTGAATTTTGTATGCCCAACCAGTGAGAAGTACTCTATTAATAGAATTAAAAGTACAAGTCTATTAGTAATCTTGTTGATAGTAGCTGGAATTCTCAAATCATGTTACATTAAAGGTATTCGTACCACAATGTGCCATTGTAAAAGCAAGAGAGAAAGTTTTTATCCTGCTTTTCTGGTGTGAAATACCAACGGTTCTAACATACTTCTACTCTAGTATCAGGAAGAGATAAGACAGAAAATTAGTCACCTTACGTGCAAACCAGAATAAGACGAAGGTGTATGATTTTGCTGTGGTATGGTAGAATTTGCTGCTTTCAAGGTTTGGCTTAAGAACTGTTGGTTGAAGGAAATTGAGACAAATGGGTTTCTCTGCCAATGCCATTAAGATAAAAGAAGGCTTGTATTAAACAGGAGTGTTCCACTTAAATCAGGCATTCAGCTAAAGTGGGTCATCTTAACCTACCCATCTCGCATAAAGGCCACCCTTATCCTTTCCTTGGAAGCCTGGCTGATTTGAGCTGTAGCAATTTCTGTACTACAAATGCTCTGAGTTGATTTGGGCCAGCTGCACTGCAATCGAGGCCAAGAGCCATTAACTACTTCACTGCTGCTTCACTGACGTCTTACACTGTGCATGATTTGTCTCAAGTACACCACCTCTTGTGACAAGATACAGTAGACCTCAAGGCTACTGTTCCAGTGGAAATTGGCATAATTTGCCATTATACAGAAACAGCAGTAAAAGCCATCAAAAGTAAGGGCTAATAAGCAGACGAAAAAAAGCATGTATTATTTTTCCCCTTTGAACAGAAAGTAGTGTTTGCAGCTGTGTTAAAGTGCTATGTCACATACTGAGACATATCAAGATAAGCCTTTTAATTTAGGAAACATAAGTGATGATACACAGGGTCACAGTGAGCAGCAGCAATTCAGTTCAGTGGCGTTTCTCACATGATTAGGAACTAATCAGCGGGCTCAGCTCTGATCCCTGTTTCAAGTTTCAGCCAAAGGAATCAAGAGGTCAGAAGATCACTTTGGCATGAGATACTTGCATAGCTAGACGCTGCTCAGCATGACAGGTTACCCGCTGCGAGGATTACACATCCCCAGCGGAGTGGGCAATAGCAATGAGGCACAAAGAGAAAAAGAGAAAGCAAGAATGTTTCTTCAGCAAACCTATGAAGGGCAGGATGAGAAACAAAAATGCTCACTTAGCTTGAAAATGTGTTATTAAAATGACACAGAGTTTAAAGTTTTTATGAAGGTCTTTACATGTCCAATCAAAATACATTTTTAATGTGCAGTATCAGGTCATGCCTTCCCACACCCCAACAAACCCTATTCATGCTGCCATCCCTGTGTATCATAACATCCCCAAAACATATCTGGAACATGAAGAAAGAGCCTCACATATATATGCATCAGAAAACAGAGCATTCCAAATATTTTTACCTTCTGAAAAAAAATCTAAGTTTTCTTCTAAATTTTATCAGTGGTAAAGGAAACAGGATGCATGAAGACTGCCTGAGGATTTTAAAACTTTTAAGAAAAAGCTGCAAAGATATCAACCAAGGGATTACAATGCATTAATCTCACAGAATTTTGTTCTTCTCAGGTATGTGTGTGTTTGCAGTTAGGTATCACAGATTGCCTATTAAGAGATGTACAGTAAAGCCAGAGAATACAGTAGAAGATTTTTCAAGATATGTGGTTATCCTTAACTGCATGTCAGAGAGAAAAATCAATTCCCTTTTTGTATTAACCTTCCTTTCCTAAGCTTCCTTTTTGCTGTCTTTCCTCCATAGTTAAAAAAGACTGAAGGAGTAACTGTTTATCTTATTACCTTCAGTCATTTTATAATACACATCCAGTTCTTGCTAATAAGCCTGTGAAAGGCACATGCACATGAGGTCAGTGGTCACTGCAGCTTGAGCAAGCTTACAGAAATGCCTCTTGGCTGGTGTGAGAAACAAGGGAGGGACATGCAGTAAGTGCCGTATCAATGGATATACCTACTGCCATTTCTGACTAGGGATTGTTCTCCAGACTTCAGCTCCCTTTCAGGGCACTTCGTCTTGTAGTGCCAACATAGTCCATTGCAGGTACTTCTGAGAGCAGTTGTTGAACTCAAGTTTCTGTGCCCTAAACAGACCTTGTCAGACAAAGCAATGTCTGCCATCTCCCATACACACTGAAGTTTGTTACAGAGCATCCACTGAGGTATGTTATATTTTCAGCAGCATAATTTAACATTTTCAGGTTACTGATAACCTTAATAAGTTTTACTAGCCAGCAGATTCAAAGCCTAAGCCTTTTCTAATAACTGGCACAAGATATTGGCACGTTTATTTAAAGATATATATTGCATATATTAAAAAGAAAACTAGAAAAGATAAAAATACTTTGTCCCTCCTCTAGAGCAGATTGGTTGCAACAAGAATTTAAAATCTTGTTAAGAGGAATTTATGCATGCACAAAATACTCCTGTTATGTGCAATTTAATTAATCACCTACATAAAACTCAAGTCCATCTGTTCAACACACAGGGAACGAAACAGGATAAGATGAGATAGCAGAGGACTATTACTGTGATAGCACTTCAGCTTAATACTTACTGTGATTGGCCATTGCAACACAAAGACACTGTTAGTACTGCTTGGCAGAACACTGAGGAGAATATCCCCACACCTAACAGGAATCCTCACAGAGAACATGCACATTTCTAGGGAAGCAAATTCCTAAAGCAATAGTAGGCTCTGATGAAACCATAACCAAACTATAGATCTATTTGACACACTGATAAAACCTCGAGTCCTAAGTGCAGTTGTGACAGTGGTCAGCTAGCCACTGAACCCATGAGTGTGTTCTGGGACTGTGCAATGGGTGGGTTCTGCCAGCAACTCCCACTCTAAGCCTTCATTTTCTTCCAGTTTGACAAATTCCTTACAGGCAAGCACAAAAGTGCAAAAAATCTGTCACAGTAAATAAAAAGTACAAAATTATATGAGTTCAGAGTCCTCACTCTCACCCGAAAGTAGTAGATTACATGCATTTCATAGAGTGGTAATATTTGGATAATTCAGCTGCAACCACTGCTGAATGCTACTGGTCCCAGCAGCATGCACAGGCTTATTATCTTAGGTTTGTGTTGTTGTTGTTGATGTTGTTTGGTTGGTTTTTGAGCAACAGAGCTATGCAAAATAGGAAGCAATTGAGAATCTAGGCTTATTTTACCTTCTCCCAAACTAGTTAATTCATACCCTGAATAAAGCTTATCATAATAAATTATTTATCCACCAAGAATATGTTTAGAGACCTCTTACCTAACACACAGTTGCTTAAAAACAGTATTCAACCAAACTGCAATAGTCATTACGTAATTTGATATTAAGCACATATTATCCTTTTTTTTTTTTTTAATCTTCCACAAAAAAGACTGCTCTAACTGCCTTTGCTGGCAAAATTGTTACCCAGTGTAAATATTAATGTAATTGACATATTGAATTGATACTTGAAACAGCTCACAGCTGGTAGCTTGCCTAATGATTTTATTATTGTTATTATTTTGCATATCACAAAATGCCTTCTCAGAAATATTTTCTTTGAATGTACACTTTTGTTGTCAAAAAACTAACTGGAAGGGTTTTGGTTGTTGGTGGTTGGTTTTTGTTTGTTTGTTTTTGTTTGTTTGTTTTATTTTTTCCATAATAATTAAAAACATTGATTTACATGTCTACAGCAGATTACACAGACACATGTCAGGACTGTAATGCTGCTGGGCACTTAAAAGCTATGATTCCCCCATCATTAGTACTGGATCTGCACAGCACAGATACCAGCAGTAAAAAAACTTACCCATCTCAGTCATGGCAAGCAACATGATGGATTTTCTACCAAAATATCCACTGCACATGATATGCAATCAGCCAACTTACTGCTGGTAGTGGGAAGTCAGACATCACCTGATGCGTTTTTAGAAGAACACCAAACTGACAGGGTGCTCAGTGCAGATCAACACTTCTGTGCAGTGTGGGTGCAATATCTGTCACTTGGTATCAGGAGCTAGGCCTAATGCCAAATTGCCTATATCACTAAACCACAGCCTAGCTTCATTTTGACAAAGTGCTCCAACACCAAAAATCTCACCTACTTCAGTTTTGAGGTAATGCCACAACTGCATGGAGTTTAATTTTATCCCTTCCTATTTTATTGTTTTGTTTGTGCTTGGTTGGTTTTTTGTTTGTTTGTTTTTCCATGTCCTTCCTTATATCTGACCTTTGTTCCTTTCTCTTTTCTAAATAAGTGGAACAAACTTGAGACTTACCAAACAAGCTTGCCAGTTTTCTTCTTCCTTATGACATTTCCATCTTGCAGAAAATTCATCGCAGTTTGCAGTCGTCCCAATTCTTCATTCATCTTTATTTTGTAAGATATTATATTGATACCTTTTACCTGAAAACAAAATAGGATGGAAATATGAAAATGGGGCAGTCATCTTCTATCTCGTGTTTTAGAAACAGCAATCAGAACTTGTGGGATTTCTGTTATCCTTTCCCATTTTTTTTTTTTTTTTTTTTTTTTTTTGCCTAAGCAACAGCTCAGGAAGAACAGAATATGCTGGGTAAACTGAGTAAATGACCTGTGCAGTCTTACAGTTCTTCCATCAACCTATACCTCCCAGACACCTTCTAGGAACACATTTTATAATCTGTACCATTAACAATATTTCAGATTATTGAAAGTGGGAAAAAAAAATAAAAGTTCTAGTGCACTTATTGTTCCTTTTCTTTTGGGCAAACAGAACCAAAACTAAGCTACTAGCGTTCAAGACCTTTCCTACTTTCAGGAAGGAAAGAAAAATATTTGGGTTGCCAATCCTACAGTGAAATGTTCAGGTTTTTTTGTTTGTTTGTTTGTTTGTTTGTTTTAAAGAAATATATTTTACAATTAAATTTGAAGAAAATCAAACATTCTAAATACTACGTTTCAAGCAATGATTTTTTTTTTCCAGAAGATATTTGCCATTTCACAAATAAAATAATATATCTAAAAGCATGCAAACTAAATCTGGTGTGTGAGTCACAAAAAGCTTGTAAAAGTGTGATTTTAGTGTCTTATATTTAGGACCAAATTAAACCTGACAGTTTCTTTTAAATCAAATTACTAAGTTAGAGGTCATAGTACAAGTTGTGCTTCATCAAAAAATAGCCTTCTTTCCCCCCAGAAACATTCAAAATTAGGGAATTTTTTTTTTTTTTTTACTCTACAGCTGAATGAAATAATTCCATCAACATATTTCCCCTACCTCTATCACTCCAATGTCACATGGAGTAGAGCACTTGACTGAGTTTCTGTATTCCATGCTCGTGTCCAAATAACTCTAAATGTGTAGTTTATTTATTTATTTTTACTAGAAGAGGTCCAAGTTGATGCAATGTGAAAATACAGCTACACTTTCTGCATGGGGCCAGATACTATGCATTTGTGAGCAAAGCTGTGTTCTAGACATGCAGGGCAGAACAAAGTAATCTGAGGGCACAAGGGCTGGTGGTCCAAAGGCAGCCAGATTATCTCTTACTTTGTGGTCAGACATGGGCTCACAAAAGCCAGCTGAAACCTTGTTTCTGGTCTGCCAACATTAACTTTCCCTCATGCTACACATGCCAGCTCTAAGGCTCTGTGTTGTGTGTTGCCTTTTTTTTTTTTTTTTTTTTGTGTGTGTGTGTGTGTGTGTGTGGTTTGTTTTGGTTGTTTGTTTGTTTTGGGGGGAGGAGGAAGGAAGAAAGACATATTAGGGAAAAAAAGAGGATCAAGAGGTTCTACTAGATCCATATGCTGCTATAGAAAGAAGGACAAGAAGCAAATTATTGACATCATCACAGGAGGATTTCTCACAGTCCTTTCCTAAGTAAACACCTGCATGAACTCATTGCTTTAAGCAAAATCAATTGAGTTGTGCTTATCTCTCAACACAGTTATCAATTAATGAGTTCTCTGTATTTATAAGCTTCATTATTAGAGTGATATTCTTCATTGTATTAACTTCTTTCCTAATAATTAAATGTTTGCGTGTGTCCCCAAGGCTATTAAAAAGATATCCACAAAAGTAATTATGAGGACATTCACAGTCCTTTTTACCTCAGAAGAGATAAGAGATTTTCAAGGAAGTGTCTTTAAGTTCACAGTTTCATTGCTCATAGTCTTTCAATAAAAATACCTATTTATTTATTTATTAAAAAAAAAAGGCATTCTAGTCCTGAAATTTTCAAGACTTCTAAAAACTATAAAATGGGAGAGAGTAAGGTTCCTAAAATGTCATGATTACAGAAATACTGAATAACAGATTTTTATTTTTATTTTTATTTATTTATGTTTTAAAGCTAGGTGCCCTCGTGACAGAAAGGCGAAATCAATGGTGAAACACTGTAATGGGATGGAGAGAAGTTCTTGACCTCAGTGGTGGAAAATGAACAAGAACAGAGTAACTCTTACAGGGAGCTCCTTTAAGCAAGATATGTACCTGATAAGCAAGATAATACCTGATGCAGATGGATAATGTTGATATTTTAGTAGAAAGTCTGCCTATTAAAATGTCAAGAGACCTAATTTCAGCTTTGTGATATAAAATGGGATTTTAATTCTTCTGACTTCGGCATAACATTATCCTGCATTTCTTTATAGTCAGTCTGTTAGCAGCCAGTTTCCAAGACACTCCTGGAAGCTAGGATGCAGTAGGGGAGACCATTGACCATCCAGAATTATTGTCATGGTTAGGCTGGGGATTTTGTCTTCCCTCTGTACACGTTTAATACATTACTGACTCCATTAACTCCAGAAGATATATTAGTTGTCATCAGTCAATATTAGTATTTTTGTTATCAGTCTGCCCATCAGAGCTGCAGAGCCCTTTGGATAAGGTCTCCCCTCCCAGTGCTTGGTCTTACAAGAATCCTGGGAGAGGTTCACTTCTCTCACTGACTAGACCTTCTGCTATTTAGTTTCAGCAAAAGCAGTGCAAGTATCTTGGCAGTCCAGTGACAATACAGTAGCTGACATGCTTGAAGATAGCTTTTGGGAATGGGATTTGGACTTGCTCCTCTGTAAGACTGATTAATATGGGAAGTGAAGGAGAAAATGAATCCATTTTCAACAGCTTCCTGTAGTTCTAACTCACCTGTCTGAAACTGGAAACTTCAATGTGTATTTTTGGCACTGGAAATCTCCTTTTGTTATAAATTGAGGAGAAGGTGGACAGCTCTGGAAGTGTGATCAATGACTTAACTAATATTTGCTGTCCTACAAATCCCAAGGGATGTGTGATATCGGAAACAGATTTTACTGACTACCTCTAGGAGACAAATCCTATTTAGTTTAGAAAACACCCAGGCAGCACAACGGCCAGAGGACGGTTCACAAGTTGTAGTGATGAGTGAGTGGTTTCCATTCAGTTGTCTCATTACCCTTAGCTAGTTCTGATGGTATCTGTGACTTTCCTGTCTCCTTTCCCTGTCACGTGAGTCATTTGGAGGCATATTATCTTCTCAGTCATTTCTAAGAAGCCATAGCTTACCTCCTTGGAATTAGCATTGAAGCCGACCCCCCAAAATGTGTACTGATTTTGAAAAAACATCACTCAGTTTTGTCCCCCCAAATTCTCTTAGCCAAATGTGTATTTACACTATATATTGTAGAGTATTTTCCATAACAACATGAGTTATTTAGGACTCGTAGTACACTATATATAATGTGTTATATCAAATATAATTTGAATCAAAATAGGGAAGTAGACACAAAACTTATTAACAGTCTACCCATCAGGATTATGTTGTTCTCCCTCTCCACATCATCTATAACTGAAGGTCAACCTTCCAGTATGGAATGACCTTGTGGGATCTTATTTCACCTTCTTACTTCTTCCTACCAAATTTTTTTATCAAAACATTTATCTGATTATTTCTCCTTTCATCTACTTTAAGTGGATTGTATAAATACCACACAAAACTTTTTTGTTTCCCAAAAAATTATGAAACAACAGAAGTATGTTATTCGAAAGCAAATATATTCCCTGATTAAAAGCAAAGCAACTACATCTGCTCCATCTATGTGTAGTTACAGCATTCAGATAGAGTATATGTAAGAAACCTGTCAACACTCAGAAAGAGTGGGAGGCATATGGTTTTATCACACAATTTCACTAAATTTCAAAACTAAGCATACACAATTGAGTCTAATGCTGATAGTAAAGACAACATTATACTTGTATTAGGTATTCTTTTTCAGTATAGAAGCACCCACAACAGGAAGCACAGCTGAACAACAGGAAATAAATTAGGATGAGTAGGCTATAAAGGTGCCGTTTCTCACTGAAATATCATATGCCCCACAGGGCCAGAATATCAGACTTGATTAAAGCTGTGCACACTTGTCACTATGCTACTTCTGCAGTCATCACTTTTGAACTACGTAGACCAGAGTCTACTCTTCTACTGCATCAATTCTATCTTAAAGACTGTGTCCTTATAAACCCAGGAGAGGTCACACAGAACTCCTAAGACCAACCAATCCAGAAGGACAACAAATACTAGCTGGACAAGGGCAGTGGAAGGTACGTCAAGCTGCTAAACACTGGTGGTTTGGTAATTAAACAAAAAGGTGAAATTAAGCAACAGGAATTCCCACACTGAGCTACTCTCTTTCATTTGTCAGAGGTTGGACTCGATGATCTTGAGGTCTCTTCCAACCTAGAAATTCTGTGATTCTGTGAAATAAGATTATCACCAGATTACCACAGTCTTTAAATTTCCATTTCTTCTGAAAGAAAAGCCAATTGAGAATCAAACAGTAGTCTGCTTGGTAGCGCTTGAACCAACTATGTTTTATACTCAATGCTGAAAAAAATATGTCTTGTTCCATGTACCACTGTATATCTATCTGAACATGAGTGTGAATGAGAGAGATGTTATAACTCCACCTTTTGTCACATGAGAAAACCACAAACAATGAGATATTTGCCCAGTTGTTGTCTGTTTTACATTACACACAAGATTTCTACTGAAAAAATGTGAGAGAACCAAAGGAGATTATGCTACAGTAACTATGCTTGGGTTATTACAGCAGAAATGAGTAATTCTTGACTCCATGAACCCTGGTATTCTCTACATTTTTCTCATGATTTTTTAGGATGATGAATATTTAAATTGATATAAACTTCTTGATCTCAAGTCATCCTTACAAAAATTAGGATTATAGCATCAGCTACTCTGATTTTCAGTAGTTCTCACTGCCTAGAGCCCTCTCTTCATTTATTTGTATAAATAGTTACAGATCATTACATTTTCACAGTATTTTCACAGTATAGTTTAATTATGGACATCTTTCATTCTGTAATTCTTGTGATTGGAGGTATCTTAAAATAGACTAACTGGCACATTAAACTACACTAACCTCCTTCACA